TGAGCTGGTTTTCACCAGGGGTTGGGATAAGGAGGAGGTGGGGGAAGGTGTTAAAATTCAGTCTTTAATACTAATCTTTAATATAAAGATTCAGTTTGAAAGAGCAGGTGGCTAATATCCCTGATAGCCAAATCCTGTCGGTGCTCATTTACATGTCATTTTAACTGCTTCTCTGCTAATACGTTTCCTGGTTTTTAATAAAGCCAAAAAAATTGTGATTTTAATACTCCATGTTTTAATTTCATATGTAGGTTGACAATTTAATCTCTTGAGGTAGAAGTTAAAGCAGTTGATTCTTCTCTCAAGAGGCCTCCTTCAGTCACATCTGTCTCACTTTCTTGGAAGTTGTCATGCTCATACTGACTGCAGGGGAGGGGGAAAGTATAATTATACCCAGGTGCATTTGGTTACATCACATTCCCCCTCCCCCCCCCCAACAGATCTTGATTCAGTAGCAAATTTAGCCATAAATGGTATTAAATATAGTACACGCTAAAGCTTAAATCAAATGGTAGGCAGGAATAAGGCACAATGGGCATTTGTGGGAAGTGGTGGTGTGCAGCTTTTAAAAATGAGACAACCCGTTGTTATATTTTTCCATAATTTGCCTTCAATAGTGTTTTAGAGGATTTAGGTTTTATTCTCATCATTCTATTTAACGTTCAGAATAATTATTTCCTCTGTGTAGATGTTTGTTTTAGCTGGTGGTGTTTTTAAAATTCTAGTTGATGTTTCCTAAGCTCCTCTTTTTGTCATTGTTAATTACCAGTCCAAAGAAAACAGGCAACATCAAAGCCTTCTGTTCACTATCCACTTAGAACTGTGTATGTGTAAATGTAGAGCAGGCTTATGCTAATTTCATATTCTTCTTTAAAGCATGAAAACGCAATTATTTTCTTTCAAAGGTGGTTTTTTTTATAACAAAGGCATTTTGTTTTCTGACTTTCTAATGATTTTTGCATTGAATATACAGCTGGGAAGTAGCTCAGCACATGGCGAATGAAATTGTAAAAGGGAAGGAGCTTTTGTTGTTATATCTGCAAAGCAGCGAAAACATAGATATACATACCACAAAAATACGCGATCTTACCTGCTACTACTAGCTTTGCATTAAGCGTAAGTAGTGCCAGAGGCTGTGTGCTCAGGGAGGCTCACTTTTTTTGTTTGTTTGTTTGAGAAGATCGAACTGGGAGTCAGAAGGAAGGGAGGGAAGGAAGGCAGGAAGGCAGATCCCAGTCCACCTGTGCACATGATGCCTCCATACACTTCTAGCAAACTTTTCAGGCCTCAACAGTTCTGTCTGAGTGACCAGTTGCTGTGATTTGCATAGCGTAGGGTTCATCTGAGCCCGGACAGCCGTTCTTGCACCCTGAGAAGGTTTGGGTTTGAGGCTGTAGCATTTCACTTGACTTAAAGATGAGGAGACCAGGTTCAGGCTGCATGACTGCCTGTAGCCACAGTAGGTACCACACCTGCCTCTCCCCGTCCTCTCCTGTATATGAGAGAACAGTGAGTTAGGTACAGTAAAAACGGCAGCTGCATGTGCGCTACTACTAACAATTCCTTTTTGTTGGACAGAAAGGAAAAACTCTCTCCATAGACTTTTATGGAGAAAAACAAAAGGAAAAAAAAAAGTGAATTTAGCTATTTGCAATAGTGAATGCCTTGTAATTTCTTAGGACAGTTATTTGATGTTTTAAGCCTTTGTGCTAACAGAAAGCTTGATGAGGTAATGACTTGCTACAATGACCTTTTGGAGTCAAAAATCACAGCTTTAATTGTAGCTTGGCTCATGTGCAACCAACTTTACTGCCTTCTAGACTCTGATGAGCTCTTGTCTGTGTTGCCAGTCAGCTATCAGGTCCGGCACAACTGACCGTGCTTGATCAAGAGGCATTGGAGTAACACGAAAAACCTCTAGAGAAGAGGATTAAGGGACATTAGCAAGACGGTGTTGGAAGTCTCTACTCTGCTTTACTGCAATGGTTTCATTTTCTTTGCAACGTCTCTCTTGTTTCTAAAGAGGGAGGAGAGGGAGATCTGCCTCTCCTGCCTTGGCTGGCTGTGATTAGCACTCCTCGGGTGGAAGTCAAGTGAGCAGACAGACTGCAGCAATCTGGACACAGCTTCACTGAGCTGAAAATTTGGAGGCTGAATTAACTCCCTGTTCTCTACCAAAACAGTGGGTACATTTTGTTTGACAAGAAAGAAGCTGGGAAAGGGGGGGAAATCCTCCCCGTAATTTCACCTTCCCCCAATCTCTTGGCGGGGTAATAGTGAGAATGAAACAAGGTCACTACAGTGTCAGATTGTATTTGGCTGAAGCCATTGCATCACTTTCCTTGAGGAATTGGTAACCCTTTCTGGATGTTCCCTGGTTTGTGGAGCTTTGGAGGAATCAGGTTTGAGGCGTGAGTAGAAAAGAAAGCAGAAAGGTAAACTGGTGATAGAACAAGACTTGCACTTTTCACCTCAAATGTCATGAGTGTGTTTGAGAGCTGGAGGAAGCCCCATGGCCCCCAGGCCTCCCAGTAATCTCTGGTCTGTGCCTTGCTCCCAGCCCCAGGGGAAGCAAATACATCTCCGACAACCCAGAGCAACAGGGGTAGCAGCGATGCTGTGATTCATTTTCGTAGCTGTGCCCTCATTGTCTGCCCCAGGGGAGGACTGTTACGCCTGCAAGATTTATTTTTGTCTTTTCAGGCAGCCTAGGGCCATTTTGGTCTGTGATCCTTCTCCAGCGCTGAGGTGTATGGATTGGGTTTGCCTTGTGAGGTCCAGCTGGCTGTGAGAAGGGCAGGTGCCAGGCTTCTAGCATGTTTAAGGTTCCCAGTTTTGTCTTTGAAAAAGAGAAACCCCTTGCATGCTGGGTCTTTCCTGTGCCCCGCAGTATGAGAGAGACTGTGGCGAACTCAAGAGCGGGATGTGCAGAGATTTGAGCAGAGAGATTTCTGCGCACATAGTGGCCCACAACTCAAAACCTTCTGGGATGCTAAGCTACACTGCGGTTGTACTTCATGTAGGGTTGATATGAGTATTTCTGGGTTATTGTTTAATCTCCATGTGTATTCAGAAATAAAATGCTATTTTTTTCCTTTCCCTTTTTCTCTTCCCAAGCCAATATAATTAGGAATATAGGCCTAATGCTGCTGTTTGAAGTCAGGGAGAGCAGAATCCGGGACTCGATAGTGTAAGCACAGCTGATGAATCTGCATGTGAATGCAGTTTTGTTCTGTGGTGGGGTTTTTTCCAGTCTGCTTTATATGACTTAGTGATGATAAATGTCCCTTAATGTCAGGGGCTTTTCTATTTTGATGTTAAAAGGAACCTCTCTTCAAATATTTTTGCTTTTGTGAAGAAGCTGTATTTTACAGATGTAGCCATTGTAAATTCCAGCTGGTACCTATGAATACTTTTTTTTTCTACGCATATGCATAATTAGTCTTCTATGTGGAGTAAAGACACATCTACATGTAAAGATGTTCATTTTTTGAATTGTTGAAGATGCACTGTGCAAGCAAAGTAGCTTCCAAGCTCAGTGACGATGACCGTAGATGAGACAGCTTTCAGGCATTCATACAGACTCCCCTGCAGGTTTCCCAGTAGCACTGAGTTCCTCTGTATAACTGTTTTAAAATTAATTTTGATGGTGAAAACAAGCAGTTAAATGCCACTTCCTATAGAGAAAACAGTAATAAAATACTATTTAAAGAATTTTTACATCAGGAATCAGGAGTAGGTTAAAGTAGAATTATGAAAGATGCTCATTTTTAAGTGCTTTTCAGTCACCACTGGAAACTTGCTATTTGGACTCCATGTGTAAAGTGACAGACTACGAAGTTCAGATGCTCCTCCAATGGTATTAATCACCATTTTAGTAACGGTCATTTTACAGCACTTCTGCTGCTCCCCTCAGACGCCCTTTCCAGCCTAAAGCCTTGAACTGTTGTGGTCTCTGTCTAAGTACAGACAAAAGTAATTTGACTGCATTTTGTCTGCTCACTACAGAATGCCAGTTGTTGGGCATGAGTACTTCTACATCATAGAATCATAGAATGGTTTAGGTTGGAAGGGACCTTGAAGATCATCCAGTTCCAACCTCCCCACCAGACCAGGTTGCTCCATGCCCCATCCAACCTGGCCTTGAACACCTCCAGGGTTGGGGCAACCACACCTTTTCTGCGCAATTTGTTTCAGTGTCTCACCACCCTCAGAGTGAAAAATTTCTTCCTAATTTCTTCTAATCTAAATCTCCCCTCTTCCAGTTTGAAGCCATCCCCCCTCGTCCTATCACTACGTGCCCTTGTAAAAATTCCCTCTCCAGCTTTCTTGTAGGCGCCCTTCAGATACTGGAAAGCTGCTATAAGGTCTCCCCAGAGCCCTCTCTTCTCCAGGCTGAACAACCCCAACTCTCTCAGCCTGTCCTCACAGCAGAGGGGCTCCAGCCCTCGCAGCATCTTTGTGGCCTCCTCTCTGGCCCCACTCCAATAGGTCCATGTCCTCCTTCTGTTGAGGGCTCCGGAGTTGGATGCAATATTCCAGGTGGAGTCTCATGAGAACACAGCAGAGGGGCAGAATCCCCTCCCTCACCCTGCTGGTCACGCTTCTTTTGATGCAGCCCAGGATACAGTTGGCCTTCTGGGCTGTGAGCGCACATTGCCGGCTCATGTTGAGCTTCTTATGCACCAACACCCCCAAGTCCTTCTCCTCAGGGCTGCTCTCAGTCCATTCTCTGCCCAGCCTCTATATTTCCATTATCTAAGGATGCTGTTAATTATGCTACATCTTGAAAGGTGTGAACGTAAGTCCAGTGTGGGATTGTAAGAACCCCAGTGAAAAGTAATTGTGATTTTCTACAGGTTTGGTTGAAGTTCCTATTTAAAAGAGTGTGTATGCAAGTAACTGCAAAGCCATCACTCTTCTAATGTTGGCCAGACACAAGGGATTCATGTTTTGTAGATGGAAACAGGATTGCTAAAGATTGATGTATTTCATTGCAGATGTGACGAATATGTCACGCAGTTGGATGAAATGCAGCGGCAGCTTGCAGCAGCTGAGGATGAGAAGAAGACCCTGAACTCTTTGCTTCGGATGGCTATCCAGCAGAAACTGGCACTGACCCAGCGCCTGGAACATTTGGAGCTAGACCACGAGCAGTCCAAAAGGGTGCGCACAAAATCTGCTTCCAAAGCCAAGAGCAGTAACCCTAGTGTAAGTCACATTCGGTCCTGTGGAGACAGGTCTGAAGGGGCTGTCCTGAACAACCAGGTTTTTTGTAGTGAGAAATATAAAATCTATTGTGACTAGGACAGGTGTGTAGAAAAAGCATATTATGCATCTTATTTTATGCTGTAACTGTCAGCGTAAATCCCCACTATCTAACGTCGCAGTGAGTTGACTTGTACTACTATGTTGTTGAACCAGGTAATACAAATTGTATTATGGTGGTCTTAACTGTAATTAATTCATAAGTCTGGGGATGCTATTAACAAGTTAATAGTGGAAAGGAATTAGCTTTTTCCACAATTAACATGTATGGGTTTTGCTGTTTATGGTAAGTGTTAAAGGAGTACACCTGATATAGTATGTCTGGTGCTACTAATTGGAGTTCGTATAGCACAAATGTGATCCTTTCTCCAGGGTTGCAGCATACTTCAATAAATGCTTTCACAGGCAGAAATGAACAGAAAACCTTCCTTGTTATTGTGGCTTAAGAAGTGGTGAAAAACAAAGGTTAAAATTAGAGGTATGTCTTGAAAATGCAGAGCATTTGGAAACCGGAACCAAAATTAATCTGCCTATTGTGGCAGATATTAAGAACTTGCTGTCATATCACCACGGACCAAAGTCCTAAAGCTTTTATAGGTTATAAAAGCTAGAAAAAAAAACTCAGTAGGGTACATGATCTACACTCTGCTTCCCTCTCTTCAGAGGGTTAACCAGAAGAAACTTGCACATTTATATTAAAAATATGCAATATTTACCCCATCTGATATAAAACTTAAAATTTAAAGAATTGGGATCCTAGCTGGTAGACAGTTCCACTTTAAGAAGTTATGCTGTGGAAAGGTGTCATGTCCTGAAAGGATCTTTGTGGTCTTACGTTGCTCCTTGCAAGCGTAACACTTTGGAAAGAATCTGTTTTCTATATTACTGTAGCCACACAACTTAAATGTGTAGAACTAATGTGACTGTGGCCTAGTATTGTCAGTCACAAACCAGTTTTTCTCAGCTTTCAGTATTAATCTAATAAATAGGATAGTATTTCAGAGCTCTGATCATTTTTGTTAAACACACAGAAGATACTGCTTTCCTTATGCAAGCACATGTTTCACAGGGCTCTACATTATAGGCACAGGAAATTGAACCAGATCATCCTGCTAATAACTACTTATGAAGTAGCTTAGTATACATATTAATCTTTTAAAACAAACTTTTGTCTGCTTTTGAACTTTTAAGGGGCCTTTTTAGCCACTTAATTACAATGTGTTTGATCATGTAAAAGTGTACTTCATAATTGGTGCCTATACAAGAGAAAAAGATTGAAAATGTTGTTTCTAAAACTGTGGAAAATTTGTGGAGCACAACAAGGCACGCTTTCTTTTCTCTAAACCAGAGTTTTAAAGTGCCTAGCCTCAAACTTTATTTTAATGTAAAGCCCTGTTCGTTTTGTACTCTCTCAAATAATTTTGTATGCCTATCGTATGACTAAAAGCAATGCGAAGACTGCACAGTTGTCTGCCTGATAGTGATGTTTTATAAAGCCATTCTAATATTCCTGGTGTGGTACCACCTCATCTCACTGCCATTTCTTATAGATGATCAGCAGCTTGCTTCCCACGCATTGCCGCTCTGCCTGTAAGTAGTCAGGAGATGTCACAGTACTAATAAAAGGTAATAAGCAGCACGGCTTGTTTGCCCAGGGAAGGGAAACCACATGGGATTTCAGCTTCCCAGCTATTAGCGGGGGGAGGCAAAAAAACCCCTTCTAAATTCATACAATGAGACTTCAAACAACTGGAATTGTAGAAACCTTGCTACGAAGCTGCAAAACACTGGAATGCCGCAGTCCAGTGCCAGCATGGCGTTTACCAATATTTACCAAAAAAATCCCAAGTGATTTCAGGCTAATACGTTGCTAAAACATCACTGCTTGAGAAGTTGAAACAAATAGCAGTTCTGGCTTTAGAAACCAGCCCCTGTGCGTCTGTTATTACTTTTTTTTTTTTTAGACAATGCTGAATTCTCCTGAATTTGAGCTTTAATATTGCTAAATAGCAGGTTTGATATTTTAGAAGCAAGACATCTTTTAACATTTTTCAATCCTGCTTTCTCTTCTTTGCTGCACAATCTTCCAGAAGGCCTTTATTCTTCTTGTTCCTGCATTAAGTGTAATGTAAAAATACTCTGTAAAAGCGGGCATTTGAGTGCTAACGTTCTTTGCTCCGACAGAAACAGTTACAATTTTGCTTCCGCTATGGTAGGGAGCTTTAATGCAGTTTTCACTGCTTCCATGTCTCTAGTGGCAGTATTTTTGCAAAGTACTAATGGCAAAAAGGTAAATTGGAGAAACTAATTGAATGCATTGTTAGGGTGTTTTTTTTTTTTCAAATTAACTGGAACTTTCGATAAAGGTGTCAACGTTATCAGCCGGTGACTGTTGTAGCAGTCTTGCCTCACACTTTCAGTTCCAAGTAAGAACAATTTTGCTGTTAGCCCAGTAGCCTCAGTAGTCATTTCCATCTTCATTAATTTCTGTCTATCTTAAAAAAAAAAAAAAAAAAAAGCCAAGAAACCTGACTGCTGTTTGAGCTTATCGAGGTTATGGTTTAAGTTCTTTTAGCACCTGTTATAAAAAGAAATGAGGAATGGTGATAAGGTGACTTGATCCTGCTGTTTGTACTTTTAGATAATATTTCAGGGTGAGTCTTATAATTCTTGACAATTAATGATTTCTTGAAACGTACGTTTTGCTGTAAGTCTTTCATATCACGTTCAATGGGTTGGGATAAAGCATGGAAAATTCCTTAAGCCATCACCTACCTCTGCAAGCAGGCTCTTCTTCTGAATGCTCTTCTCTGCATTGGCCTGCATGATATACTGACCTGCATGTTTCTGGAGAATCTAAAGCTTCGGTGAAAATGTTTCTTGCACATTCATTGCTGTTAACTCATGCTTGAACAGCAAAGCTTTATTCAGTACTTGTAAGAAACCTTGCTGCAAAGCTATGGCTTCCAGGCTAAACCTGTAAAGCGTTCTTTCATCGGCTTGGAAAGCCGAAACAGCTGCTTCTACCCTAACAGACACCCTCAACCAACTAACCTGCTTTTGCAGCACGGCGTTTTCAGTTCTTTCATTGAGAAATAAACACTGATGATTTTTTTTTTTCTAATGCTATTTTATTTTTCCATTTTTCAGCTGTAGAGTAGTCCCTGGAGAAGGCCCTTCCAACAGTGCAACAGCATTTCTTAGCCTCTTTCATTATGGTTAAAGTGGTGGCCCGTTGCACAAAGAATGGAAACCACTGACCCGATCCTAACTTTTGAAAACAACTTTCCCTATATACTACCCGAAACTTTCCTTTTATGTCTGAAGCTATAAAACAAACAAGCTTTACCTATAATTGCTGCTGCAGTAAGAAAACTTACAAGTGCTGAAGAAACCTACTTCAAATGTCATGATCACCGTATTAGTTTATGATCTACTAGAAATGTTCGGATGGGGGAACTTCTTATTTCATTGCAGATGCTAATTTTTTTTTATGTCGTTGGTAAACCTGTGCACTTTCAATATTTTGATATTTTTCTTTAGCTTCTTTAATTCCTTACGTAGAAGAGTTTATATAAATGCAGTGGTTTGTGCTCATAGTCTCTCTCCAATTTGGGCTTGTGATTTTTGAATTCTACATCAGCATGTGGCAGAGATTTTTCTGGGGGCTCTAGATTGTGATTAGAAAAAGAGTTTCCAAAAAAAAAAAAAAAACCAACCCAGGAGCTCTGCTAAACTGTGTGCTGTGCTTCAGCAGCTTTTTTATTATTATAAAATGTTAAGCTTTATATGTTTAAATTACTGATTATTTTTTTTTAACTGCCATGTTCGTTAAGAAATCCAGGGTATTCAAATTCTGGGGTTTTTTTCATATTGTATTATTATTCTTAGGAATAGTTCAATGTAACAAGAAGAAAACTTGACTTTGCTCTGGTTAAAACAGTAATAGGCACTTGAAAAATATTAAATAAGTAGTATTACCTATAAATTCCAGAATTCCTGGGTTTTAGGAAGTTGCAGTATTATTGATTAACAGAATTTTATACAACTATACCAGTTAAATTCCAAATTGGAATTGTTTTGTTACTTTTTCATTTTATTGTGCCAAATTCTGGTACATTTAGAAAGAAAAATTCTAAAGTTGTCAATGATAGGGTGTTATATATCAGCGCCTTTCTGTCATTAATTATTGCCAGTAGTGCCTTTAATCATTTTAAGGGAGAGTCTTAGAATAGCTTAGTCTAAGTCCTGTAACTTAGAAGAAAAGGAATGGCTGGTTTGGAATTTAGTGAAGATGCGGAGCAATAAGTGCAAAGTGAACTCCCCTTTCGCACATTTTTAATGGGTAGTCTTACTATAGAGATTATATATTCAAGGAATTGTAAAAAATTCTGTTAGTCAATGATATTTCATCATGCAAATCCTTGCAAATTCAGGGGTATAGAGAAAAAAAACAACACAAACAAAAGCCACAAACCTAAACATTTGAGAACCAAATGGACTTGTGTTGAACAACTGAGGAAGATGTATTAACACATTTGTGGTAACAGTACAGGGGACGTATCAGGAATATCGATATTATGTTAGCTTTGTCTGGTGGTGGATGCAGTTAACCATAGTATTGTTTGCAAATGTGAACAACAACCCATTGGTATCTTCTCTTGCATGTTGTATCTAATCATTGTAATTTCAGGAAACAGAAACAGAGAAGGGCGTCAACAAGCTGTGCCAATCTCACTGCTGTTTGTTGAGGCTCACGTGAATGATTAAATTGGTACTTGGTGGGGGGGGGGGCCTTCCCACTCCTCAAAAAAAAGTACAAATTGAAATAATATTGACAGTGGGGAAAAGATTTCTGTTTGCTGGAAAAAAACGCATTATTATGGCTAGATGTGGGGACTTATATTTCCATCTTCTGTTACAGTATTGATTCATAAAAAATATTGTTGCATTTAAAATTACTACATTTATATGTGGGTATTTATTTGAAATGATGTCGAAGTACTGTATTATGTTTTATGTGCATTACCTTTTAGTGGTGGATTGGTCTCCATTTAACGTCATATGCATGTATTCTTGCCAAGTAACCTTTACACAGATCTCGGGGGGGTGGGGGGTGGAATCTTGAAGAGAAAATGTGGAAATTTCTTAAAAGTATAACTGTGTGTTAATTGGATAACCTTAGGAGGCATAGAGGGCACAACGTTACTTCCAAATTAATAAAGAGGTGTTTGATGTAGGAAAGCAATCTGCCTGCGTAAAGGTAGTCACATTGGCAGTATCAATAAAAGAGAAAAGGAATCACGTTTTCTGCTTGTTGTTTTCCT